TTTGAGGTAGATTCGAGTTGTGATGATGATGCTGATGGGATGAAGACGATGATGATGATGGTGATGGCGAATCTGATAAATTCAAATTCCTATAATCATCTTCATCATCGCTGTCTTCATCGTCGAGGTCGTCACCGCCATCACTGACGTCCAGTCCGTCCGTTATAAAAGCATTCTTATTCCTATTCGCAAACTGATTCGTCCGACTACCATCCAGAAGCGATGACGATGACGTTGATGATGACGTAGACGGCGACTGCTTGGAAGGTTTGCGTCTAACCCCCAACAAATCAATTCTCAAACTTCCAGGACATCCGACCGAACAGAGCTGTACCGATTCGCGGTTACCGATACCGGCATGCTGCACGAAATCGTCGTGAGTCCTGATAAAAACCGAAACCGTATTCAGAATCTTCCTAATCGATATCGTGACGTCGAGATGACGTAATGTGATCGTCACGTGACGCCCTGACTGCACGTGAGTGAGTTTGACGCTGTCCTGGGGCCCGGCCGAGGTCGACCCGTCTTCGAATGTCGGTGGCAGGTCGTTGGAAGTGGCCTGGTAGAGGAGGTAGTGGTGTGGTGAGGCGCATTCCTCGTCTTTCTTTATCATTACTGTTGCCTGTGTGGGTAGAACGTTGTTTTTGTTTGTTTGTTTGTTTGCCTGTTTGTTTGTTTGTTTATAAAACTTGTTTTTGATGTAGCTGTAAATGATGTTATATATGGTTAGCTTAATGTGCACATATGCATGTATGTTTGTGTGCACGTGTGTTCAAGCTGTGCGCGCCTATGTATGAGTGTATAATATATATATATATATATATATATATATATATATATATATATATATGTGCGTGTGTGTGTGTGTGTGTGTGTGTCGGTGTATGTATGTGTGCGTGCGTGCGTGCTTACGGTGCAACAACAGCTGAACTATAATTGAAATGGAAAGGTAAATAATGAGGTCTGCATATGAAAACAAGATGGAAGTGGATGACGACGACGACGATGTTGATGATGATGCTTGAATGAGTGAACAAGTAAATGAATAAAGGAATGAATAAATGATGATGAGAAAATGACAATTGAATGAAGAAAAAGTGAGTAATAAAGAAGAAGATGATGAGAACGATGATGTTACAGATGAAGACGAAACATGCATATAAAGATGTACACAATTCGACATAGGCAACTTTAACAGACAAATAGCGAAATGTTGCAATCCCTCGACAATTGATGGCAGGACAGTAACTGTTGAACGTTATTATGGGAGAATTAATTTTTGCCCTGGCAGCTGTTTAAACGTGTGAATTTGATCAGGAGATTTAATATTATCTCGATAAAAATTGTTGTTGGATAGACATGAATCGCCCGCTGCTTCTTTCAACAACTTTCATTAAAAAGATAGAAAATTTATTTTCACAATTCTGGTTTTTTTGTAATCAATATACTATATCGTTGTGGCTTAGGCCAAATAGTTGCCCAACTAACTATTCAGTGACTTTCTAGTAAAAACACAAACATGCAAATATAAAAACGTACTAACACAAATAGACATGCATACATACGTAAACACATACCAGCATACATACATACGCACACATGCATGCATGCGTGCATTCACATACGTACACACACATACATACAATCTCGTGGTAAGTTGCAAAGTGAGCAATCTTCAATGAAGTATTACTTGAAAATAATAAATAGCTAATATTCAATGCAACAAGAGTGGATGGATGCATGCACGTGTGTATATATGTATGTTTTTTTGTATGTATGTATGTATGTATTTTTTATGTATGTATGTATGTATGTATGTATGTAAGTATCGTATCGTATCGCATGTATGTACGTACGTATATACGTAAATATGTATGAAAAAATCAATTTTGTACCTAAAGTTGTGATATTGTTTGATAGTCAGCTAATCAATGTTTGACTGATGGCGTAGTAACGAATCTGTTTGTTTGTATGTTTGTTTGTATGTACATTTGTATGAAAACCTGTATGTTTGTTTGTTTTTCCATGTTTGTTTGTATGTACGTTTGCTTGTATATATGTATAAATGTGTATTTTTTTTGTATGTACCCTACCCATACTTTTATGTTTGGGCTTTGAAAACGTCATTTTTTTTGATAGGAATGTATTTTCGTTACTACATTTCGGCTTATTAGCATCAACAACATTAACAACAACATCAACAACAACATCAAAAACAACATCAACATCAACAACATCATCAACATCAACAACATCAACAACAACAACATCAACAACAACAACATCAACAACAACATCAACAACAACATCAACGACATCATCATCAACAACAACATCAACAACAACGACAACAACATCAACAACAACGACAACAACAACGAAATACTTGTAACTCATCGTCAGCCATGTTTATCACAGCATGTAACAAAGGAATTGTCAAAAATAAATAACACAACAACAATAAATAATAATAATAACAATAATAAAAATAATTATAATTTATAATAATAATAATAAATATTATGACTAAAATTATTGTTATTGTTATTAACAACGGTGATAGCAATGAATAAATGAAAGAGCGAATGAATGAATGAATAAATCAACTTAAGAAATAAAAGAATAAAAGAGCGAATATTCTATGAAAGACTGAAGGAATGAATGAATGAATGAATGAATGAATGAATGAAAAGATTAAATGAATAAATGTTTCAATGAAAGAAAGAATGAATGAATGAAAATTGAATGAATGAATTAGTTAATGAATGAATGAATAAATGAATGAATGAATAAATGAATGAATGAATGAATAAAACCCAGCGTGATATACTTACAACACTCTAGACATTAACAACGACACTAACAACAAATAACAATAAATATAAATGTCTGTATATAACATACAATATAGCACACAATATATACGATAAACCCAGTATATACAATATATTCAAAAGATATAATATATACAATATATACATACAAAAATATACATACCGAGACTAAAAAACATATAAAAATGTACATACAAACATACCTACATACATACACGCAATTATAAGCAAACAAACAAACATATTTGAAGCTTTCATTGTTATTTATGTTATCTTAAAATGTTAATATGAAAACAAGTGAAAGGTAGATGATATATATATATATATCATATATATATATATATATATATATATATATATATATATATATTTAATATATATATATTATATGTATCATATACATATCTAACATGCAAAAATATTATAAATATGTATACACCTATGTTATTTATTTATTCTTTTTTATACATTCATTCACTCATCTTTCCATTCATCCATTCATTCATTCATCCATTCTTTCATTCATTCATTCATTCATTCATTCATCCATTCGTTCATTCATACCTTCATCAATTAATTCACCCAATAATTCATCCATCCACTCATTTATATAAAGTTCTGGTGAATTAATTCCATTCGGTAATAATGGTACTGCTAAAATTGTGATTTGCATTAATAATAATAATTATTATTATTGTTGCAAATTTTAACATAATTATTTTTATAATATTATTATTTTATTATTATTATTATTCTGACCCAATTTCTCGTGAAAGAAGATGATGAAGATGATCCGTATGTGCTGGCAATTAATCAAAATAATATCACCCCAACATGAGATAACAATAATAATAATAATATTAATAATAACATACAAACAAACAAACAAACATACCTAAATACATACATACAAACAAACAAACATACAAGCCTTCACTTGAACATGCAAAGCGATCAACAGCATCAACAAAAACAAAGCGAACATACTTACAGACATACAAATATGCGTAAAAACAAACACACATACTTACAAACCAAACATATAAACAAACATACAAACCAAACATATAAACATACATACAAACATACATACAAACATACAAAAAAATCAACAACAAAAGCATGGAAAAAAGAAAAATTTAGCATGTGCTCCATAATTTATAACCTTCTTTACACCTTAATTGTTTCTGAACAAAAACAACAACATCAACCACATCATCATCGTCGTCGTAGCAATCATCATCATTAACACCAAAGCAACAACAACAACAACTAAAAACGGTTTGTAAAACAACAAACAATTTGAAAAAGATGATAACGACGATGATGATGGCGGTGATGACGACGACGATGATGACTCGAATGAAAATGATGATGCATTACAAGCCCTCCAGTTGTTAAAAGAAAATTTTCAACAGATTCTAAAGATAAACATTGCTATCTTCCGCTCTTCATTCATCCAGTTATTCAATCACTCATTCGTTCATCCAGTCAGTCATTCATGCGTTCGTTCGTTCATTCATTCATTCAATCAATCAATCAATCGACCGATCGTTCGCTCTTTACTTGTTCATATATACATTCTTTTATTTGTTAGTTCATTCATTCATGAGTTTTTATTTGATTCGTCCATTCAGTCTCACGTTCGCTCACTCATTTATTCCTATTCCTTTATCTACTCATTCATTCAGTCATTCATTCATTCATTCATTCTTTTACTCAAACATTCATTAACTGGTGATAATGATAATGATGACGACAAAGACATCAGAAATTTGACGAGCTGGAAGAAGAAATCAATAAGGCACATGACTCATGACGATGGTGATGATGGTGATGATGGTGATGATGACGAAGGTGATGATGACGATGGTGATGATGATGAGGATAATGATGAAGAGACTATGGATATGATAATGAATCAGATGGAGATGGCGATTCTGTCCCGCCAACATAACGTATCCACCAGCGCTGTTAATGGCGATCTTATCACATTTTTATCTATCTCCCATTATATCTTTTCGTCTCTCTCCCTTTCTCTCTCTCTCTCTCTCTCTCTCTCTCTCTTTCTCTCTCTCTCTCTCTCTCTCTTTTACATTCTTTCTTCATTCTTTAATCTTTTATTTAAATTTTTTCAATCATTTATTACCAAATAAAATTTTCGGAATTATACATTTATTATACATGAAACAAAATGACACACATACATACATAGACACACACACACACACACACACACACACACACACACACACACACACAGAGGCATACTTATGTACATACATACATACATACATACATACATACATACATACATACATACATACATACATACATACATACATACATACATACATACATACATACATACATACATACATACATACATACATACATACATACATACATACATACATACATACATACATACATACATACATACATACATACATACATACATACATACATACATACATACATACATACATACATTCATACATACATACATACATACATACATACATACATACATACATTCTTGATAGACATGAGTTAAAAAATTACCGACCTGTATCTAACCTGATGTTTTTGTCAAAGTTGGTTGAAAGAATCGTTTTATCACAATTTGCTTCTCATTTGAAAATTCATAATCTTCTGCCGGTTCACCAGTCGGGTTATCGTGTGTTTCACTCGACGGAAACAGCTTTAATTGATGTTTCGTCAAGGTCGTATTCATCAATGGACGAACAAAATGTGTCATTGCTTGCTCTCTTGGACATGAGCTCGGCGTTCGTTTGCGTCGATCATGCAGTACTTCTCAAAAAACTGAAGCAAACCTTTGGACTATCGGGAGTCGTTCACAAGTGGTTCGTGTCGTACCTTGCTGGTCGTACTCAACAAATTTTATTCAAAACAAATTTGGCAGCTATCGATGCTTCGTCATACGGTGTACCACAGGGTTCCGTCTTAGGTCCCATTCTCTTTTTGCTTTATACAGCAGATGTCTACACAATAATTGAGTCGTACAATTTCAGGTTTCATGCATTTGCTGACGACATCCAAATAATAGCCAACTCCTCTCCCTCGTCGTTTGGTGATGTGGTCGATGATTTAGTATCGTGTTTATCAGCCATTGATGTTTGGATGATGGGGCACAGATTAAAGTTGAACCATTGCAAGACCCAGTTTTTGCCTGTGGGTACATGGCAACAAGTGAATAGAGTGAATAGAGTGGGTATCAACACTATCAGAATAAAGGAATCTGTCATCGAATTTTGTGCGTCAGCACGAAATCTTGGATTTATTTTTGATACAAACATGACAACGCAATTGCACATAAAGTTGTTGTTGAAAGAATGTACTTACCAATTGAGAAAATTGAGACTCATCAAAGGATCTCTAAATATGCATACATTGCAATGTTTAATTCACTCGTTCATTCACTCGAGGATCGATTATTGCAACAGTTTATTCTACGGTTTACCCAAAAAGTATGTTGCACAGTTACAATTAATTCAAAATCGGGCTGCCAAGTTGTTAACTGGTGGTTCATATTTTGATCATGTTACTCCTATTCTCTTCAATCTTCAATGGTTGCCCGTTCAACAAAGAATTGTCTTCAAAATTGCCCTACTGGTGTATAAAAGCATTAATGGATTAGCACCAAAATATTTAATGGATCGAATTGTTCCAAGAAATGCACCGTTACAGTGTCAGAAGTTACGGTCAAACGATTTAGATTTGTTAACAATTCGACAAACTCAGCTTGCTGTTGGTTGCAGAGATTTCGCGGTTATGGGACCGAAGATTTAGAACAGTTTGCCGGTTGACTTGCGAAATCGTGGGTTGCCAATTACTGAATTTCGAAGAAAGCTAAAGAACCATCTTTTCAGACAAACTTTTCATGATATGATTTGATTGAAGTGAAACATTTAATCAACTTTTGCATTAGCGCATTTAATCAACTTTTACATTGTTAGCGCCTTTGAGAACAATAAAGGGCGCTTTATATATAAATAATCTAATAATAATAATAATAATAATACATACATACATACAAACAAACAAACAAACATACATACACATACATACATACATACATACAACGCTGTATACAACATCATTTACATACAACAACATCATTTTTATGGTAGCAGCATCATAAAAATTGATGTGCAAACACATTACAGAATATAAATATAATATATATATATATATATATATATATATATATATATATATATATACATTCATTTTTTTCTCTCTTTCTCTATAACCCTCTCTCTCTCTCTCTCTCTCTCTCTCTCTATCTCTCTCTCTCTCTTTCTTTATCTCTCTCTTTGTCTTTTTCTCTCTCTTTGCTCAGGCAACAACAATTATCATAATAGTCCAAAAGTTATACCACTGTTTATTACTTTATAGCATAACTGTTACCAAGAGTGATAACAACAACATCAATAACAACAACAACATCAATAACAACAACAACAACCGTTACAACAACAACAACAACCGTTACAACAACAACAACAACAACATCACACACAACAAAAACAACACTTTGCCATATGTATGCACCAAACGCACGAATGTTTGCAATCTGCTTGTTTGATCATCTTCTTCCTCTTCTTCTTCTTCATCATCATCTTCTTCTTCTTCATCATCTTCTTCCTCTTCCTCATCATCTTCATCGTCGTCGTCATCATCTACGTCGTCGTCATCATCTTCATCGTCGTCGTCATCATCACCACAAACAATACCACCACACCAAACATCACATTATCAGCAGTGCATTAAGACAGGCCTATAAAATGGACAAGAGAAAATGAGATGCATGCAAAAGTGCAATTAAAGGAGGAAAAAATGACGGAAAGAAAGAAGATAACGGATAATGAAAGAATGAAAAGAGAGATAAATTAAACGAAAAAAAAGGTGAAAGAGAGAGAGAGAGAGAGAGAGACAGACCGAAAAAGACAGAAAGATAAAGATCTTAGATCTTAGTTAATTCAGCAGTGTCTGAAAAGCACTATCTTCTAATTACACGTGCAATTAAATACACATACACATAAGCATACAAAATTAAACACACACACACACACATAAATATAAATATATACATACATGCATACATACAAACATACAAACAAACATACATGCATACAAACAACATACAAACAAACAATCTTACGCCATGAATATATAAACCAAAACGAAAAAATAGAAAACATATATAGAGATTCATACATACATAAATATCAACACACACATAAACACACAAACACACACTTAAAAAGGCACGCAAACATACAATAGGACATACAAAGACCAGACAAACAGACGGACAGAAAGAAAGAGAGATAGATAGACAGACACTCTTTAATTAAGCCTTTAATTAAGCATATAATATTATATAACATAAAAACCAATATAATATGATAATATAACATAATTTAATAATATAGCATAATATAATATAACATGATATAACAACATAACGAGACAAGGTGCTAATTAAAAGCAAACTTCAGTGTTATTGCCAGTTCAAAAGTGCTACCAAGTTCACACACGTTCATCATACTCACGACTCACGCAACTTTAAAAACAAACAAACATAAGGGCAAACATGCAAACATACAAACCAAACATGCCCGCGTTCAGTTCAAATCCACATCTACACACACACCCACACGCACGCACACACACACACACACACACACACACATGATATACATGCATACGTACACAAACACACGGGACACACGACATACATGCATACACAAACATACACACATACCTACATACACACATATCAATACATACATACAAACAAACACACAGACACAATAATGTGAATAATGTACACAAAAATAAACAAATACAGAATGAAAATGATAGTTCATAATGAGATCAATTTGGCTGTTATAAATAAATCCGATATCATCATTATCATCGGCGTTGTCATCATCATCAGTAGCATCATCTTCATCAATATCAGCAGCAGCAGCCGAAGTAGCAGCTGCAGTAGCAACAACATTGTCATCAACATCATCGCAACAATCATCACTATAAAATTCATTAATCATCATTTTTTATTATAAAAACAGACTCTGCTTTTAATCTTGTGAAGATTTGTTTGATGACGTTTTAAATCATTACCATCATCATTCTCGTCATATTAATAATAATAATAATAATAAATATTATTATTAATTATTATTATTATAACTTCGATCACAAATTAAGCAGGTGTTTTGTAATTTTACCAGTTGAAAAAAATCTCTTGTATGTATGTGTGTATGTATGTATGTATGTGTGTATGTACGTATGTGTGTGTGCGTGTGTGTACATGCATGCGTGCGTGCGTGTGTATGTATATACGTGTAAAAAAATGGCATGGTTACGCTGTCAAAGTTGTCAATGTCAATATATCAATGATGCTACGATTAAAATTGTTAATAATAATAACGAAACACTACTGCTGCTACTACTACTACTATTACTACTACTACTACTACTACTACTACTAATAATAATAATAATAATAATAATACATCCACTACTACCAATAATGAAGGATAATAATAACAATAACATTAAACATAAAAGAATAAAAAGGAACATAAAACGAAAGAGAAGCAGACCTTGGTAACGATAGAGCCCCCCCTATGACCCTCTGCCGTGATTTGCACGGTGTAATGTTCGTTGTCGACCATGGGCCAGGCCCCAAGAATGCCACAGGTCTCGAACTGCTGACCGAACGTCCTTAGATGTGGATCCCCAAAGACGCCACACACTCTGTACTTGGGATTCAGTAGTGAATCGTTGCTGCCTCTGCCTCTCACGCTATCGTCGTCGTTGTAGTCGTCGCCGTCGTCATTGTTGTTGTTGTCGTCGCCGATGTTTTCATCATTGAGTGAACCACCACCACCACCACCACCACCACCATCGTCGTCGTCGTCGTCATCACCGTGGTACGTGCAGACGATCGGTTTAGAGTTGGGCACGAAATTAGGTTGTTCGAATATCGGCCCGACAACGGAGCAACCGAATTCCTTGAGATAGGAGCCGATGCTTTGCTTGGTGGCGTGATACTGCAGGACTCCGTGACAAACGCGACTCGAGTTGGCCAGGCAGACGAAATACGTTCGCCAGATGAGGCAGAGCTTGTCTTGCAGGTCGGGCGTCAGGTGCGAGTTCCGTTTCGAGAGGGCATCGTTCATATTAATTCGAGAGGTTTCTTGCGCTGTTGAAAACAACGCGAAGCATAAGTTCAACGATGAAGAACATTTGCTGGTTGATGATGACGATGATGATGATGAGGATGACGATGATAATGATGACGAAGACGACGAGGATAACAATGATGAGGAGGACGATGATGATAAGTTTGGTGGAGGCAATAACTGCGGAAGGGCATCTGTATGTGATTGGTTGATTGATAAGTTGGTTGACTGAGATGATTGGCTGGTTGGTAGGTCGATTAAACAATTAGTCAGTCAATTAAGCGATTTTGATTGATTGATTTATTGATTGGTTGATTGATTTATTGATTGAAAAAACCAAGAGCAATTCTTTATAAAATAAAGTTCAGGTGTACGTGCAGGCATGTAGGTATACATAAAAACATATTGGTACAAACTATAAAGTTACATGAAAACACACACACACTCACATACGCACGCACACACACGCAAACACATCACAAACACACACACACGCGCGCACACATCACACACATTATACCTACATCTTTTTTATTATTTCTTAAATTACGCAGCTCATGAGGCAAACACACATAAGTGAAACAGTTTGGAAAATTTATTAGTTTCAAAATACATCATCATCATCATCATCAGCAGCAGCAGCAACAACAGCATCTGTTTCAACACCATTATCATCATCATCATCATCGGCATCATCATCATCATCACAATCATCATCATCACAATCATCATCATCACAATCATCGTCGCAGTAAAGTTACATGGTTGTTAAAAGTTCAAAACGTCATTTATCATCTTAGCATGTGACGACGTTGTACAATAGAAGAAGCGCTCTCTTAACACTTAAGCAGACAGGCAGACGGAGATAGACAGACAGACAGACAAACAGACGAACAGACAATCAACCAGGCAGAAAGAAGTGTAGACTTGTTAAAATAAAACGTTACCAACAAAAAATAAAGAATAAAGATAATGGCGGAATGAAGGAGAGAAAGGTGGATGAATGATAGGATTAAAGATTAAAAGAGAGTAGATGAATGAATAAACGAGTGAATGAATGTATGATGGTACAATAAAAAATGATTATATCAACTAATAAATAATAATAATAATAAATAATAATAACAAATAATAATAATAATAAAGATAAACAGTCTGGTAATAAATCAAACGAGGAAGAAACTTGTGAAAGCCTCACAACTACAAACTTCAAAAAGATGTTAAAACATTTTCATTCATTCATACATTCGTTCATTCATTCACTCATTCATTCGTTCGTTCATTCATTCGTTCATTCAATCATTCATTCATTCATTCATTCATTCATTTACTTCTTCGTTCACTAATTCATTCATTCATTCATTCATTCATTTATTTATTACATCACCGTCTTAAAAATTGAGAGGAAAATGAAAGAGAGAAAGAGATGAAACAGGAAAGAGGAAAGAAAAAGTCAGGTAAAAAAATATTTAATTCGTTAAAAGATAAACTTCGCATAAACATCAAAAAAATGAAGGAGTGAATGAATGAATGAATGAACAAACGAATGACACAGTATAATAAAATGAGATTTGGATGAGTAGGTTGAATGAGAAAAACTGAATACGACTTTGATGCTGTTTTTGTTTATTATATCTTGATAGAAAACATAGATATAAGATTGAATGAAGGATTATTTATACTATGTTTAAATGAACGAATGAGGAAATGAAATTATTTGTATGAATGAAGGCAACAATCATTCATTCATTCATCATCATCCCCATCTTATAAATAACAATAATAAAATATCATAATAGTAATATCATCATCAGCAAACTCAATATTTACATACATACATAAATATATACATATACGCACACACACCACACACACACGCACGCACACACACACACATACATACATACAATCCTACTAACCTACAGACGGTAACAGAAGAGAAGAGTATAGAAACATGATTGAGAGAATGAATAAATGAAAGAACGAAGAGGTATTATTGTATGATGTTGATTTAATGTTATCCCGATGAGATAATGATGACAAGAGCAGTGATAACGATCGGATCAATAGTTTTTGTTGTTGTGGCTGTTGTGGCTGCTGTTGTGGTTGCTGTTGATGCTGCTGTTGTTGTTGTTGTTTGGAAATCAAAAAGGCACTTTTAGCGGATCCATAACTTAATCTCATTTCCATTACTCCCCGCCCATTTGTATGTGATGTTATTGTTAGCGTTGTGGCTGTCGTCGTTGTGGCTGCTACTGGTGTAACCGACGCTGCTGCTGTCGCTGTAGTTGTTGATGTTGTGGATGTTATGTTGTTGTTGTGGATGTTATGTTGTTGTTGTGGATGTTATGTTGTTGTTGTTAATGTCATACAAATATTTCGGTAATTAATAAAGTAGGGCATATTTTTTGTGGTTGCAATGTGTTTGCTATGTAGGTAGCATTTCTAAAGCTGTTAACGTATCTTAAGTAGTGCTGTTGTTGTGGTCGTTGTTGTTGTTGTGGTCGTTGTTGTCGTTGTTGCTGTTGAGGTCGTTGTTGTCGTTGTTGCTGTTGAGGTCGTCGTCTTCGCTGACGTCTTCACTGCATTATCTGATGGATTATGAAAATGAAAAATATGAAATTTATAAATCACAACAAAAATAAAGAACAAAGAGAGAACAGAGAGCGAGAGAGAGAGAGAAAGAGCGATGCTTGAAAAATGAGAAAGATAATGATAGAGAGTGGATGGGAGAGAGGGAGAGAGAAAGAAAGAAAGAGAGAGAGAGAAACCAAGACGGAGAATGAAAGCCAAACCAATTATAACAATTTAACCATTCCGTGGAAGAGGTAATTTCATGTATAATAACATCGGCACGGGGGTGTACACTCACAACAAGCATAAACACACACACACATTCTCACACACACACACATTCATACATACACACATACATACATACATACACACATAATAATACATACATACATACACATACATACATACATGCAAATAAACAAACACACATACATACAACCAACCAAACATTCACACACACACACGCATACATAAAAACAAACAAAAATAAACATATCATTTTACTTTTTCTTTCCTCTCTTATTTTTCTCTTATTCTCTCTCTCTCTCTCTCTCTCTCTCTCTTTCCTATTATCTCTTACTCTCCAACACGCACACACATACAAAGACAAAAACACACAAACACACACATACAAAGACAAAAACACACAAACACACACACACTCAAATATGAACGGTAAAAAAGTAAAGAGAAAGCCACGTAAAAAAAATTTAATTCGTTAAAAGATAAACTTCGCATAAACATCAAAGAAATGAAGGAGTGAATGAAGGAATGTACGAACGAACGAATAACAAATAAAAGAAAAAAAAGAAGACCATCTCAATGCAGAGCAATAGAAGGCTTGGCGGAAATAATAAATAGAACAATTTTTTTTCATATAAACTTCCCATTTAATTATGATAACTCCAAATGGCCTCAAAAAAAACAATAATAACAATAATAATGATGGTAACAATAATAATAATACTAATAATAACAACAACAATACTAATTATAAATAAAAATAATTGTTCTTTTCAAATTCTTTGTTAAAGTAAATAGGAACAATAGAAAAGCATTGTACGACCTTTCCTAAACACGCTGTATTATGTATGTATGTTTGTAGGTTTGTTTGTATGTATGTCTGTACGTTTGTTTGTATGTATGTTTGTATGTATGTTTGTATGTATGTTTGTATGTGTGTGTATGTACTTTTTGTTCTTCGTTTGAACAAGCATCATAATTAACAGTGCCATATTGAAAAAAATAAAATTGAAAAAGTTATCCATTGAGTATTTTCGAGAGTGAGAGAGAGAAAGAGAGAGAAAAAGAGAGAAAGAGAGAGAGAAAAAAAGAGAAAGAAAGAGAGAGAGGCAGACAGACAGAAACACTTAAAGAACGAGAAAACTGAACGGCGAAATGAATTGTTTAAATAATTTCAGAAAAAAATTAATTAGATTTTTCATTTTTTGCCTCTGGTATGTAACCTGGCAGCTAGGAGGGATTTAATTAAAAAGTTTTTACATGAGGTCGAGAATGAATGAGTGAATGAATGAATGAGTGGATGAAAGAATGAATGTACGATTAAATGAATGAGTGAATAAATAAATCAATCAATCAATCATTCAATGGAAGAATGAAAGAAGAAAGAAAGAAAGAAAGATTGAATGAATGAATGAATGAATGAATGAATGAAACATTAAAAAAAATAAACCAACAAAACGAACGAAAGAGTAAATCGATCAACAAATGAATGAAAAAAGAAATGAATGAAACTTAATAGATAAAGAAATAGGTCAAACTGAAGGAATAAAATAAAACGAATGAATGAATTAATAAATGAATGAATGAATGAATGAGAGAAGAATTTCTCAGTAATTACTTCTTAATTGTTCAGACGATCTCATTGTTCTTCAACAAACGACGCCTCGTTCGCTAGCTAGCCTTACTACACAACACCATGTCTACGGATGGGTGTCTAATACACCAGAGCACGCACCGCACAAATACCACATAGTACAATATAGCAGCAAGCAGTACCACATAGTAAACTCTAAGATACAATATATCTATGAGTATCTAAAATCTAAATAGTATCTTCCTACCGCATTTAAATATTATAAAGTATCAAGCATGTAAAAGCATACAAAACATGTGCGTATGTATGTATATATAATACATACATTTATACATATTTACATGTAACAAGCAGTAACACACAGTAAACTTTACAATATGAGTACCATGAGTATCTAGAATCAGTAGGCACCATATAGATGATGATGATGACGATGGTGGTAATGGTAATGAAGATGTCGATGATGAAGACGACGACGACGATGATGAAGTTGCCTGTGGCGAAGAAGATGACGACGACGACGACGATT